CAGGGGCCCTGCAACCCTGAGACTCTGGATGAGGAACCTGCAGCTTCCAAGAACAAGGTCCTCAGTCCTGGTCCAACCTGCCTCTCCTCCATCCGGGATGGGCATCTCCCCTGGGAGGAGGCTGCTGCCACCGAAGCTCTGCCACGGGTCCTAGAGGGCCGTTCTCTGGCCTGCATGCCACCCCAATACTGCCTGGCTTGCTCCTCCAGCTTTAAGCTGGGAGCTGGGAGTCCCAGGAAGCTGGGGGCCGGGGCTGAGCAGGTCCCGGTGTGGCCTAGGCTGGGCTTACTCTGGTCAGGCTCCAATGGAGGGGGGACCCTCCCTCTGTGCCCACTGGCTGTGCGCCCTCTGGAACCCCGCTGTCAGTTCCAGTACCATGCCTGCCTGAGAGTGAGGTTCCCCAGGTCTGACACACAGGGGTCCTCAGTGAGCTGACCTGAGGAGGTGACAGGGCCATAGGGCTACAAACAGATGTATGTGTCCCCTTCCTTGGTTGGACGAAGGAGGGAAGGGTTTTGGTGATTCCTGGCACGGGCAGAGTCCTGAGGCATCTGCCTTTGTCCTGAGGTCTGGGTGCCCCTGCCTTCCTGGGGATGAGGGGATCTGTCCCGGGGACACATGGCCCTACCCCATCACCAAGGAGCCATTCTGTAGACTCCAGTGACCAAGGGGTCATTCTTTCCTGTCCAGCTGGTCTGGTCTCAGCCCTGCTCTTGGGAAGTGTCTCCTCCAACCTCACAAAGTGATTGGCTCCCTAGAAAGCAGAGGAGGAGAGGGCCCGCTTGGGAGCCCGCTTGGCACTCCCTGGGGTTTCCCCACTCCCTCCCTGCCTCCCCGCCTCCCCCCTAGAGACTTCATAGCTATCCCTGGAGCTCTGGCTCAAGAGCTCTCTGCCCAGACACCCTGGCCCAAGACCTAGTCCCAGGCAGGACTGCTGGGATGGGGTGAACCCCACAGCTGAGCTGCCCTCTACCCTGCTGCCACTGCCACCATCTTCCAGATTTGGATTCTGACTGCTGGATGGTGTGAACCTTTATGTTACATTTCTGGGTACCCTGGGGCCCATGATACTTGGAGAACAGCACGGGGTGAGCACTTCCAGCTGGAGGTAGGGGGGAGGGACCTAGAGATGCCTCCCTCAAAGGAGGAGAGCAGAGCTCCCTAAGTCCTGGGGGAGAGAGCTCCGAGGGGACTGAGAGGGGGTGGGTGGGCAGGGAGTACGGCCCCCCTCTGCTGAAACCTAGCACTTCCGCAGCCTGCAGGTGCCTCCTGACAACCCCACCGCAAGTCTAGAGGAGCACCTGGCCCGGGTCGCTGAGGGGGAAGCAGACCTAGGTGGCGGACAACCACCCGCAGCCCCTCCTGCAGGGTGATACCTGCAGGACACTGAGCCACAAGCACTCTACGGATTTCCAAACCCAGCTGGTCTGCAGCAGGGTGGGGTTCACAGCCCAGAACACCGGGCTGCGGCTCTACGAAGGGAGAGGGAGATTCTGTGGGTGCAGGTCTGGAGCTGCTCCCCACCCCTGCTGCTCAGCACTTGTGGCTGGGGACCCAAAAGGCGGCTTCCCACCTGGTGGTGCCTGGGCCCAGGCTGTCGGGTTAGGAGAGCGCCTGGGCTCCCGGTTTTCGTTTCGGTCCTGGGCTGGCCCAGACCTGGAAGGGAGAGAGCGGTGAGGGAGATGAGGAGGGAACCACCGGAGCTGCGACCGTGACCGAGGGTCCTGGAGGAGCCGGGTGTGCGGGCTGCTGGGGCTCTGTGACGAGTGGGGTCCCTCCAGCTCCCCAGCAGCCACAAGGGCCGGGGCCGGGCAGGGTCCTCCCCAGCTGTCCCTGGCGGGCGGGGCACAGGGCGAGGGTGCAGCAGGAGCTGCGACGGGCTTCGTTGGTGGATTTTTAAAGGTCCTGGGATTCAGAGGGAAACTGTGGGACACACAGTACCATTACTGCCCCAGGCAGTGCGAAGCCGGGCTGTGGCCGGCCAGACCCCTGCCCTCCCGGGTGCTGGACTCCCCTGGACTCGGGGAGAGAACAGGGGATTTCAGTCTGCAGCCTCCGCCTCTTAAAACAGACGCAAACAAATAAAACAGAATGGCTCACCCCAGGGGACATCCAAGTGCACGGGGCAACACCCCAGCCCAAGGCACACCCCACGCGGTCAGTGACACTGGACAGCCACAGCGGGGACTGGTCTCTTCGTCCCAGGCACACTGGTTTCTGAACAACACATGCGGGAGGTTTGTTCGAAAATCGGTTTCCGGCGGCGTTCTGGGAAGTCGGGAAGTTGAGCCTGGGGGCATCCGCGTCTCTCCCCTCCCTTCCCCTTCTCTCCTCTCCCCTCTCCTCCCTTCCCTGCCCAGCACCCACTACCAAGCAGCAACCTGGTGTGGGCACCAGGAGGGCAGCTTAGTAGTGTACACAACTGCGGGGCCAGAAATTGGGACTGTGTCCCTCCTCAACCTCGGAGTCACCCGGATCACAGTACGTGCCAGTGGGGGAGAGGGGGCAAAAGCCGGAGAAGCCTCAGGTCCCATTGTAGACCAGGCTCCGTGCTGCGGTGGGAAGGACTCCGGGCAGTTTCAGAGGCCTGGGGCCGAGGGAAATAAATGGCTTTTTATGTGGTCTGAGCCCTGGCCCAACTATTTCAGATGGAGCAGGAGTCCCCCCGGGTCCAGCCCAAGGACAACCGCAGCTTTCCCCAGGTCAGTGGCGCTTCAGGGCCTCCCCAGCCTCCTGTCTCCAGTTGAAATCTAGGGTACACAGCTACCGGCTGGCTACCGCAAGTGAGGCTGCAGGTTGCACCCTAGAGCAAAGCCCCCAGCTGGCCTGACTGGGGGCAGTGTCTGAGTGGGGGTTGAGGCGGGAACCTTTGGGGACCCCTCTGCCGAAAGCTCCTGCGTGGACCAGAGGAGACACATTTTTACTCTCTTTGCTACCCAGATAGGGACTAGAGAGTGAGCAAAACTTGACCAGAAATCCCTCCTCCCCTTTGGGTGCTGGGTTCCCAAAGACAGTGAGTACATTTAGGGGAACACGGCGGAAAGGGGGGACCTGCAGAACCTGGCCTTCACCTCTGGCCCAGCAGGGTTTCTGACTGGACTAGGCAGGAAGGGGCTCAGCCTTGGCTGGGGCAGAGGGCTGGGAGGGGCTCCCTGCATCTCAGAGGAGTGCAAGGTTTCTGGAGAACTCCTCCGGGGCTAGGACCCTCGGCACCTGGTGTCCTCTCAGAGCCCCCTTTCCCCTGGGAACTTCTCCCATGGGCGTGGTATCAGCCGGTTTCTGGTCTTTCCCTGCGCACCACGCCTAGGACTCCCAGGTGAAAATCCCCTCCCTCCGGGGCAGCTGGTCCTGGAGGCTGACAGCAGTGTCCCCTCCTGTAGTATGGGAGCCACTGGCCAGGCCCACCCACACCTCACTGCCCTCTGGGGCATGCCACTGAGGAGTCAGCACTTCCACTCCCAGTGTGGGGTCCTGGTGGCTGTTAGCCTCAGAGTTCTCCAGTGTCTGAGCTGATGTGAAGCTGCCATCAAGCCTTTTAGCAGCTATCTTTCCTGCAGGGTACCCATTTCCTCTGCTTGGGCCCTAAAGTCCCCCCAAAGCCTCTGCCAGATGCCCCCCGGAGGGTGGGCGGCAGACTGGCTTTCCAGTGTCACCTTTTCGCTCAGAGGCTCCTTGATGTTTGACCTGCTCTCCACTTCTAAGCCTGGCCACGCGGGGGCAGGGCCTGGCCAGTCCAGAGCCCAGCCTGGCCAGGGCCATGGCCTTGAGGGTGGCCCTCTTGGCCTCTCAGCAGGCCGGGACACTCGTCTTTCTGGAGCTGTGGCAGCATGTGGGAACCTCACAGCCTCCCCAGCCCAGGCAGGCCATCGACTGCAGTGCCCATCCTACCCCAGCTGCCCTGGCAGAGAGCAAGGGAGGGACATCAAGGCCTTGCCCACTCCTCACATCTGGAAGGTCAGCCTAAGATGGATAGCTGTCGCTGTTCCACCCTGGCCAGAGCCCTGACAGTGCCCTCCTGAGCCCAGGGAACTCCTGAGCCCAGGAAAGAAGGCTGGGCCTTTTTAACCTTGGGGCCTCCACAGCAGGAGCAGGAGGGCTGGGCTGGGCTGGGCTGGGCTGGGGGAAGGGCAGGGACCCTCTCCAGGTGACCCTGCCACAGCTCCAGGGAAGCTGCCTCCGATTCACACTGAAAACCACGGAGGCCACCATCAGGGGCTCAGGCACCTGGGTGCCAGGCAGAGGCGTGACCTTGAGCCTTCTCCTTCCAGCAGCCCCAGCCTCGGGCTGAAGCTGGACAGGACCGCAGCACCCCACACCCCAAGGCCAGCCAGAGACTACAGCAATGCCAGTCTGCCCTGGGAGCTCCTCACCGAGACTGAGACTGTCAGAGCCTGACCCTATATACTGAGCTCAAGGGGGGCCAGACCCTGGGGAGGGCACAGGGAATGGGTCCCTGGCCCTTATCACCCTTACCTAGGGCGGGAAACAGCTCGGAGGCAATGGTCTACATCCAGCAGGGTGCAGAATGGCCGAGAACTCGGTGCTGCAGAGGAGCTGGAATCTCTGCGGGAAAGCCCGGTGGGCTGCAGGGACTCAAAGATGCAAGGCCTAGCCACCTTGGCCACCTCGGCTCCACCAGGCCTTTCCCAGGTACTGCCGCTTCCCAATCTCCACCCTCTATGAGGACCTGGGCTCCAGGCTTGGTTCTGCTCCGGTCACCGTTTCAACCCCAAGGCAAAGGGTTCTGCGTGGAGATCTCGGGTCTGCCAATCCTGGTTTCGTTGCACAACAAAGAGGGGAGTGGGTACGGCTTGGAGCCCCACCTGGAGCAATAAGGAGACTCTGGGCTCAGGTGTCCCGTGACAGCTCCTGGTCCTGCTGCCCAGCAGGATCTTGGAACTCCGGAAGGGTGCAGAGGCAGCAACCCGGTCTGGGAAGCGCCTCCGTTTTCTTCCAGTTCATTCTTCGAATCCAGTCACGCGCCAGTGAAGAACCCACGCTCACCCCACCAGGTCCACCGGCTGGGGCCACCTTGCCCGTGCCCTGCCCGGCCCCTCTGCCGCATATCGGGTGTGAGCACGCAGGGCAGCAACGCCCGGCAGCCTGTGATCCTCCACCTGCCCCGGACCCACAGCCCGAGATGCTAGTGCAGCCCGAGGCCAAGGCCCGACCCGGCCTGGCCTGGCCCAGCGCGGGCGCCCGTGCACCGCGTACTCACCTGGGGCCGCAGGCTGCGCAGCCGGGCGCGCCGTCCGGCCGGCCGGAGAGGTGCGGGGCTGCCAGGAGAGCGCGGCCTGGACGCCGGGCTTCGAGGGCCGCCAGAGGCCCCGCGCCGCCCCCAGCTGGGTGCGCCGTCCTCGCTGCGCCGCCGCGCGGGACCCCCGTGTGGGTCCGGTGCCGCCCGCCGGCCGGGCAGAGCGCAGAGCCTGCGGCGGGCGGGCCGTTGTTCCCGAGCCGCGGAGCCCGATCGGCAGCCGTGGGTGGGGCGGGGGAGGGGCAGGGCCCGGGGGCGCGGGGGGCCCGGGGGGCGCGGGGCCCGGAGGGAGCTTCGGAGGAGCCGGGTTCAAGCGCGCGGGCCCGACACCCCCGCGCGATCGCGGGGCGGGGGCGGGACCGAGGGGTGCGTGCGAGAGTGAGCGGGCTGGGGCGACGAGGACGAGAGCTTTTTAATTAGGAACGAAACGCGACCCACGCGGCGGGCCCGGACCCGCGTGCGAACTGTCGGCGCGCGCGCCGGGATCCCGGGAAGTCGCGGAGCCCTGAGGCCGCCGCCCCATCTTCGGGCCCGGCTGGGGCACGAGCCGCAGCGCGACGCGACGCAAGGGCAGGGCGGGGGGGACGGTCACCTCGCCTCCAGGGCCACCTGGGTCCTTTTAAAGTGTCCGGGGTGCGGGCCCCGGGCGGGAGCGCCGAGCACGGAATGTTTTCTTAAAGGGCCAGTTCCGTGCTCTGCCGGGCGGGGGGGAGGGGGGAGAGCCAGAAGTGAGGTGAAGACCAGGAAGGCCGCGGAGAGCCCCCCAATCCCGCGCCGAGGCGGCGGCGGCGGCGGCGGCGGCGGCGCGACGATGAGGATGATGAATACATTGCAAAGTTTTTTTGGCCCCGGCGAGGGGTGTCAGATTGAGTGCTCTGTGCGCATGTGCGAAGGTGTCCAAACTGACAATGCTGGGGAGATGAAGATAGTGTGTAGCTGCTTCTGGGCTCAAGGAGGAGGAGAGAGATTCCGCGAGCCGACACCATGCGATCCAAGGCGAGGGCGCGGAAGCTAGCCAAAAGTAAGTCTCCCGCGCCCGGCCGCGCCGCGGGGCCGGGGCGCGGGGCCGGGGTGCGCGTCGGGGCGCGGCTGCTCGGCGCGCCCGCCGCTCGGGCCCCCGGCTCGGCCGAGCGCGGCCCGGGGGCCGCTCCGCCTCCCTCCCGCGCTCCGGGGCGGCCGGGCTCGGCGCGAAGGCTCGGGGCGCCCGGGCCGCGCGCTCCCCGAGGGCGCCGGACCCCTCCCCGCCGGACCCCCGCCCCCCCGCCGCGTCAGGCGCCCGGGCCCGGGAACCCGAGGCGCGCGGTGGGGGCCGGGGAGGGGGGCGGGGGGAGGGCCGGGGTGGAGGGGAGCGAAAAGCGAAAGTTAGCGAAAAGTTGCCGGGAGGGGAGAGCAACTTTTTCCTGCTCGCTCGCTCGCTCCCGCTCTCTCTCCGACTAGCTCGCAGTCCTGGTCAAATCATATTCCGGGCTTTTGAAATAGTGGGCGCTAGAGCACCGCCTTTGGCGTCCGCCAGCCGGGCGCAGAGGAGGGAGACCCCGAGCCGGGAGGGGCGAGGAGGGGGCGCGGGCCGGCGCCCACCGGCTCCGGGCGCGGGGCAGGGTGGCGCGGGCAGACGCCGCCGCCGCCGCCGCGCGCGCGAGCAAGATGGAGCCCTCGCCCGCGCTCGGGCTGTGCTCGCCAAGTTCATTCCCAAGCGGTGCCCCGCGTGGCGGCGGGCGCTCCTCGGGGGCTCGGGCTCGCGCGGCCGGTCCTCGGCCGCAGAGTCCCCGCCGGCCGCCCCGCCGTCGCCGCGCCCGCCGCCCTGCGCGGACCCGCCCGCACTCCCGCGCCTGGCACCGCCGCGAGGCCGGGAGCACCGCTGCCCGGCGACGCTGCCCAGCCCCGGGTCTTACTTTCTCTTTCGCTCCGCCTGGGGCCGAGCCCGGGGCTCCCGGAGCTCCCGCCACCCCCGCCGCGCCTCCGGGCAGCCCGCTTGCCCTCCGCGTCCGGCGGCCCAGCTCCGTCGGCCTCGAGTCCGCCTGGCCGGGCGCCGCGGGCCGCGGCGGGCAGGTGGGACTGGCGGCCCGGAGAGCGCGGCTCCCGGAGCACGGCCGCGGCCCGGTTACAGCGAAGCGGCGGGAGCGCAGCGCGGGTCGGCTCCGCCGGGCCGGCCCTGCGCCCCCGCCCCCGCCCCCGCACGCTCCCCGCGGGTGGGGAGTCCGGCCCGAGCCCCACGCGGACGCCCTGCGACCACTCGGCCCGGCAGGCTGCGCCCGGGGCCCGACCGGGACGTGTGCAGGCGGCCTGGCCTCTCGGCGCCGAGAGCCGTGGCCTCCCGCTCGAGCTCGGTGGGCACCGGGCTTAGTGGGTTTTCCCGAAAAGCTTTGCCCTTTTGGCTCAGGATCCGGCCGGCCGGCCCCACCGCGGGCCCCGCAGCCGTAGGCCGCACGCCCAGCCTGCAGGGAAAAGCAGCTCTCGTCCGCTGCCAGACGCCCTGGGCTCCGCGGTCGGCTGTTCACGGCCCCTCGGGGAGGCACCCCTTCCCAGCCCTCCTTCCCCGCCGGCTGTCCTTGGCCTCGGCCTCCTGGGGCTCCGTGACCTCTGACCCCTCTTGGTGCGAACAAGGCTAGACCAGACGTTTCTCTGCAGAGACTGAGGGACTGTGTGCGTTCCCCGCGTGGCTGCCTGACTCCTGGAGGTGGGTGTTGGGTAGATGCTTGGGTTTGCGTGTGCACCGCGGGTCTTCCCCAAGTTCGGACATCCAAGCTGCAGGCTGAGCCCTGATCGGCCTTCCCAGGGAGAGGCCCAAAGCTGTGGGGAGAAAGAGTTAAGCCTGGGACTTCGCTGCAAGCGAGAGACAGGCAAACAGCACAGCTCCGTGCACCAGGCGAGGCCCTGGAAACCTCCGAGGCCCAGGTCTGGCAGGGCACTCAGCCCTCTGCCTGCTCCACCTCTGTCAGGTGGGGATGGTTGAATGCCTAGTCCCAGCCCTACCATGCCAGGCACAGGCAGCCGTTCTGAGGCCTGGAGACTGAAGGACCAGACCTGATGGGAGCCCAGGACGCAAGCTTGTGGAGAAAACAGCTCAGGGGTGAAGCCTACCTGCCCCAACCCAGACCTGAGCTCAGGAGTGGGGGAGCCCTGGGGCCCCTCCCGGCTGAGAGGTTGTCCCCAGCCCTCCCCAAGAAGGTGGCTGAGCAGGCTCCGAAGGGCAGCAGCTGGGCCACTGAGGAATTCCATTTCACAGGACAGTGTTTTAAGCAGATGTGAAAGTGCTGGGGTCCCCACTGCACTGCTGAAACCCAAGTATCCAGGGCTCTGGAGGGCCCCAACCCTGGCTGGAGCAGGGAGGGAGCCGGGTCGCAGCCATTCAGGGCTCTGCCTTGCCCTTGCGTTTCAGACAGAAGGACAGGAGACAGGAGGACAGCCAGGCCAAGGGAGGTGACTCATGACGGAGAGCTTGGGGAGCCGCCCCTGAGGGCTGTGATTTCGTTTGTGTTTCTCAGTGACCCTGCCCCAGGCCCGTCCAGGTGGCAGGCCATGCAGGTCTTGCCAGGGCTGCATTGGTAGCACTTCAGGGCCTGTGGGAAGGATTGGGCTGGCTGTTCAAGGGTAGAGGCTGCAAGGACACCCAGGCAGGGCTGCGGTCAGTTCCTGGGGAACCCAGGGACTGGGTCTGCTTACTCAAGTGGGGCCAGTGCTGGCCAGTGAGGAAGGGGACTGTCCTGGCCCCACACTTAGAAATGAAATTTCTAACAGTAGCTTATTGTTTCTGCCACTGCTGTGAGCCAGGTGGGCAGGTGGGGGGTGCAGAGCCACAGTGCCCTCCTGACCTCCACCCTCCTCACAGCACAGCTGGGGACCTCTTTTGTCGGGACTCAGAGCCCCCATCAGAGCTGCCTGTGGAAGCCTGACCCTGTGAAGGTGACAGATACCACGGTTCTGGACACCATTCATACCAGGGCTGGGGGGTGAGGGTGCAACCCCCACCAGGTATGGACTGGATCCGGGGGGTTGTGTGTCTGAGAGATGTGTGAGCAGAGAGCCAACCGGTGGACGCCCAGCGGGCAGCCGTTCCTCCTGCTGAGGAAACAGGCCCAGCTCAGCTCCTGGGGTGCCCCTGATCCCCACTGCCCACTGTCTCCTCCTCCCCTTGGGAAGCGCCCTCCCGGGCCGCTCTCCCCAGAGCCTTCCTTGCAGCACCAGTTAGGGCGGCGGCCGCAGGGTCCCCCCAGCGGGGCTGGAGCATCCTGCCCGCTTCGGACGAAACCTCGGAGGCTGCGGTAGCAGGGCAGTGCAGGGCTGGCTGCCAGGCCCAGTGCCCCGGGCGCTGAGCTGCGTGTCTAGGGGCCCTGCCTGCCCCTGGACGGCCGCTGGGTGTGCCGTGGTGCAGAGGCCGAGTACTGGAGGGGTTCTCCGGGCCGGCTGTGGGGTAGCCGCTTGGCAGGCTCCGGGATAGGCACAAGCTGCGCCTCCCCCGTGTCTCTCCTGCCGCTGTCCACACTGCCCTGGAGGAGCAGGTGCCTCAGGCTGGAATCCTGCCGCCCCAAAGCTCCAGAGACCCCAGGTCTCCTGTGGGTAGTGCTCCAGGCAGAGGACTCGGTCCTGAATTTTCTGCAGAGGACGAGGGAAGTGGCTGGGGCTCCCGCCATGGCTCCTGGGGAAGGCAGGGCCAGGACAGCTCTCGGCCACCGTGGGCACCATTAGCTCCGTTTTATTCAATTAGGAGGCAATTAGGGATCACTGGGGGGCTGGTACTGGTAATTAAGGTGATGTATAATTAGGGTTTCAACAAAAATGATCCAGGATTAAAAATCTTTTGAATAATTTCGTTTAAAAATTTCAAATAGATTAAATACAGTTTATCAGGTTGTGAATCAAACCCGTGTATCAAGTCTTGGAAGCAGAGGCGTGGGGTGCGGGCGCCAGGGCACGGGGCAGAGCAGCCTTTTCTGCGCTAGTCTCCGAGCATATGGGGAGAAACTTTGTTGGAGTCCAGCCGCCTCGCAGCGTGGGGGACAAGAGGAAGGCCGGTGCGCTGGGCTGGGCTGGGCTGGGCTGAGCTGGGCTGGGCTGGGCTTTGGAGCCCGGGTCCCTAAGCACAAAGTAACCGCGCCAACCACTATGGGGGACAGAGCCCTCCTCAACGCTGCACATCGAGGTCCCTGCAGCCCCTGCCGGCTAGAGCCAGTGCCTTTCTCTAGCGGCCTATCCAGTCCCAAGGGTCGATTTCTGCTTTCAGGGTGGAAAAGATGGTCTTGCACCCGAACCTGCAGACCCACGACAGGCCCTGGGTTTCCTGTTTGGAGCCTGATGGACCCAGGAATGTGAGGGTACACCCGACCTAGGTCTAAATTCAAAGGTGTGTGGGTGGTAGTGGGGTCCTCAAGGAAAGCCCAGGCAGAGAAGGCTGTGTCACCTGTGGGTCCAGCTGCAGGAAAAGTGGTGGTGGGCCACTATGTATGGAGTGCAGCTGGGGCCACCCCAGTTTCTGGTGGGCAGGGAGGCAGATAGCCGGTGGAGGTGCCGGGGCCAGAGTCCACGACCCCCTGGTAGACAGAAACCCACTTCTCACCCCGATCCTGGGATGGGTAGAGTGTGGTATAGCCTGCACCTCTCCTAGGGCTCAGAGACCCCAAGCAAGTTCAGGGTTGCAGGAATGCCAGGTCAGGCAGGATCTCCGGGCCCTCTCCTGGCCACCCTACCCATGGGGCACTGCAGATTGGAGCTAATTCCATAGTGGCTTTTTAATGCGTCAGGTTTTAAGCATTTTCTCAAGGCTGTTGCTCAGTTTGGAGCAGGTCTGCTCTTCAGAGTCAAGTAGGAGAGCCACATGCTCGCAGCTCCTACATGGCCCTCCAACTAGGGCTTTGGCCACCTGCAGACTGGAGCCCTTCTTTGCTCAGGGCTGGCCTGGAACCTCAGGAGCCTGTGGCTTCCCCTGCCCTGATGAAGGTGCTTCTCCTAGGGGCGGGCAGGGTGCAACCCCGGGGAGGTCCTGTGTGCACACCTCCTCTTGCCTTCTGAAAGTACAGGAGCGCC